GTCTTTGAAGTTTTATTACAAAAATAACCAAACTAAGAATCAACAATAATAAACAAACAATAATAATGAATCGATCAAGGCTTAATTCTCTTATCTAAGGCAAAATTGACTGTTTGAACAGGAATTATTTAACTTTTTATATGCCATGAATTTAGACAAAGTTTGTCTATTTTAATAATTTATTTTGGATTTTGGTTGAAAGAAGTTATTTAATGTGATCAGATAAAGTCATGTATTATCACTGCAAGCCAGGAAATGATTTACCAAGTTGCAGCAGCTAAAACAGCATAACCAGACCAAGGTATCATATCACCAGGTGTCTACTTCTTACTGGGTCAGTGTTGAGGGCACCAGGTCATTCATCTTTCTGGGGTTCTCTGGTGGATCAGACCAGGATACATCATGAGGAGGACTCACCGGGAACTGCCTAAGGTACTAGAGGAAAGTCACTGGGACAGCTTCAGGGTTCTGTGAGGGCAACAGATAATGAGAAGGTGCCATCCATTACAACCTTCAGCCGGCTTAGACTTCAAACCGAGAACATGAGTCTTGCAGTGAGAAAATGCTTCATCTTCTGTAGTTATTTAACTTCTAGCAATTGTAATTGAGCAACAGGTTTATCTGCTCAGGAATTGAACGAATGGACCTTGGGACGGCTACCAGGATCGGGTCCAAAGACAAACCGCCTTCTGGTTTGGGCTGGAGACAAACTCTCTGCCCCGGGAGTCCAAAATGAACTGCCTTTCACACAAATAATCTTTGTGAAAAATAACAGCTCTGAGAAGATTATTTTGATTACTCTCAGGGACGTTGTGACTTCCCCGCTGAAGCAAACATCTTCCAGCTCAAAGAACATTTTCGACATGTGTCTCTGAAGGAATAATCACTTTCTGTATATAGCTATAATATTTCACATGATTTCATTATAATGATCAAAAACAACAATTAAAATTATTCATGTTCACACTTGTTATTCAACTAAAACAAACTTCATTATCCATCC